TCTCAAATTACTTTGACTTTGTTTTTAGTTTCGACTTTTCTTTTTCTGCCTTTTCAAATCACTGTGAATGTAATTTTTTAATTTTACCCAATACTCCTTGTACTGTTGAATCCGGTTGATTCAGCTATATTAATATAATACAAGTATTTCCTTCCTTGTGTGGGATCTGTTTGTATCAATTAGTATCAAAGCTCCAATCTGGGAGCTCTGTGGATGGTGGTGACAAGAGGCATGGAGGCGCGATTTGAAGAGTTGGTAGATGGGGTTAAATGGATAGAGGAGGGACAAATGGTGATCCTCCGCTGATTTGATGAAGTGTTGCATAACATTGGTGGGAGTAGTCATAGGAACAGAGATCGTTCCACTTGCGATAGTAGGCAGTCGGAGGAATCTAACGGTGTGAATGTTGGGGATTCTTTTCGAAACGGAATATCAAGTCAGGAAGTTGGAGCTGGCGATGTTTCAAGTTACGACTTATATGGGGGGTTGAACAAGGTCGAATGGTACTTTATGGAGAATGAGATCACGTAGGCTGAAAAATAAACGCCTATGTTATTGGTATTGTAAGGTGAAGCGTAAAATTGGTATCAATGGTGGGAAATTAACATGGTGAATGCTTCATGGAGGACATTTTGATCAAAGGTGTTAAGTCGCTTCTAGTCGGAGATGGAAGATAATCCCTATCTTCCACTTCTAACCCTTCAACAAACTAAGCACGTGACTGAGTATAAGGTGGCATTTGAACAGGTGCTTAGTTCCCTTCGTTATGAAGACGGAGAAATGCTTATGGGAATTTGGCCCAACGACTTATGCGACAATATCTGGGAGGAACTTCTCATGTATCCAATGACTAGGTTGTTAGAGGTAATGAAGATGGCCTACAAAATTGAACGGGGGAATTTGGCATGGATGGCCGAGGGATTAACCAAAGTTGGGCTTGGTGCAAGTAATGGGGGCTTCAATTGGGCTTGGTCCAACCTAGCAAATTTGGAATGGGTTATATGGGAAATCGGGTTAGTGTTTCGGGTCTATGGAATGCCACTTATTCTCGACCCAATATGACAAAATTCCCTAAAGTCCCAAATTTGACAACATTGACCTTAATCCCTCACACCTAAATGATGGAAACCCATGGCTCGTGTAGAGCTAGGCAAGCCACAACAATCAAAGCGGTGTTCGAAGATTAACCCAAGAGGAACTACAAGAAAGATAACATTTGGGGCTTTGTTTAAAGTGGGAGGAGCATGGGAATCCTAGAAACATGCAAGGTGCAACAGCTGCACTTGCTAGTGGTAGACGAAGGAGAGGAAGAGCTTGAGGAGCCTTTCATGGAAGATGCAAAGATGACGAAGAGCAAGGATAAGAAGAAGCAACCTTCAATTGTCAATGCAAAGTCTTACGGAACTATCTTCAAGTCACACAATGAAGCTTTGGGGAAAATTAATAGCAAGTAGTGGTAATAATTGATTGTGGTGCTTCTCACAATTTCATAAGGCAAGTAATAGGTTTAAGAGGATGTATAGGAGAAGGAAATGTAAGGGATCATTAGCACCAATTACAAATGCTGACTCAGCAAGAGTTATATAGAAAGGAATCAGTTATTTAGTAGTGTTACATTCTTTGTGCACCAAAGGAGGGCTGATAACAAATATGGGAGGAGGCATCGGTTTGGACACTTTTTGTTTGAATTGGAACTTGGGATAGAACCAGAGCCTCTCAAATTTCTCTGGCTTTGCTTCGGGTTCTACTTTTCTTTTTTCCCTTTTCTTTTCCACTATAAGTGTGATTTTCTCTTTTCACGAATACTCCTTGTGAGAGCGAGCTTTGAAGCAGCGATAAGGTTACTCTTTGTGATCGAAAGGTCACGAGTTCAAGTCTATTGAACAACCTCTTTGCAAAAATCTAAGGGTAAGATTGTGTAAAATCAACCATCATCTCTACCTTCGCAAGTCGGGGAGCCTTGTGTTCTGGGGTTTGCCCTTAACAAATACTCCTAGTACTGCTTGGGTTGAATCTGGGATTTTTTGTATCAATATTTTAGAAGAAATAAGTATGGCCCAACTAGCCAAGTGGACTAGCCTTTGTTAGTTTTTCCTTTTTAGTTAAAATTGTTAGAGAAGGTGTTAGCGTTTGTTACTCAGCCCTCTAACTACAATGGCAGAGGTAGGATATATAGATAAGGAGAGAATGTAAGTGAAGGCAACTAGTTGTTGAGTTTGTTTTGTAGGGAGGGACCAGGCTCTCAAATTCCTTGTGAAGTTTCTTTTATACACCATTTTTGCTCTTATGATCTTTGGATACCTATTGATCTAGAGTTGGAGGAGGAAATTCACTATCTCATATTTTCTTTATTTTATTCCTTATTTGTTATTCTAGTTCTATCATCTGGTATCAAGCACATAGGGCTTGTTTTTGCTCTCAACTTCTGGTTTTGGTGGTAATGGCAAAACCCAAAAGCAACTTGGTGGACCTTTGTGGAAGGCATGAGCAAGCATTTCCGACTAGAGTATGATCTAGATAAGCTATCTAGGTAGGTGAAGAAGAACCAGAATTGTTAGAAATAGAAATCTTAGAACTATAGCCATGAATTGGATTCGACTCTCAGGTTTCGCCTTCCTTGGCCTTGCAAGGGGGCGTGCCTTCCCCTAATCTAAACTTTTATATATTGAAAAAAATATTGGAATTAGAGATATAACCAAAGAGGAGCAACTCCAAAGTGAGCAATGTGTCTACATTTTGGATCAAGAACCAGAAGTGGAAAGATTCTTCAATCAGGGTAGGAGGTTGTTGGATTCCTCTAGAAATAAGCCACATCTAGGTGGTCACATTCCACTTAGTAATATACAGGGTGTAGATGGTGACTGAGTTGGACTAGGCGCTATTGGTGTCTTGAAGGGAATTCTCTCCTAGCACTAGTGGGCTAGGCCCATTTAAGTGATGCAAAGAGTCTTAGAAAAAATGAATGGAGGTGAAATTCCGAAGGTTGAGCTCCTTTTCTGACTCAATAGTTCAGGCTTAATTCAGTATTGGACTATTGGTATTGTTGTGTTTTGTATGGTTTTGAATCCAATGTTTGAAACAAGAAGAAAAGGTTAAGGGACACCTATACCCACACTTAGAACTGAGATTAAACAATAGGGTGACAAATATTTCTTAGAAACCCAAGTAGAGATGCATGATGCATCTTCAGCCACGCCCAATTTCATCCACACTCTGTTTGGCATGCAAGAGACAAAGGGCCATAACTCATGCAATCTAGTCAATACCTCAACCACCACCTAAACCTCCAGATTCAAGCCTAGGCACAATGGATGATAGGTTGGTAGTAGCTGAATTACTGGATTTGAAGTTATGTGCAGTGTTGCCTGATTGTCACAAATTAACTTCATTGGCTTAAACTCAGATATTCAATTTGTTGATCAGCTGCTTCATTTAGATAAGCTCACAAGTACCAATTCCCATTGAACAATGGATTTGATCTAGCCACCACTGTCTACTCTTTACTTTTCCATGAATTTAAGTTGCCTCCAAATAGAACACATTAACTTGAAGTAGTGTGTCTATCCAAGGGAGAGCATGTCCAACCAGCATTAGTGTAACCACAAATCTCTATATGCCCCCTATTTTTATGTAAATGTCCTCTGCGAGGTGCTGCATTGATGTTTTCAAGACTCTTGATGCTGCTTCCCAATTGGAGTCACATGGAGAATCAAGAAATTGGCTCAGTACGCTTACTGCAAAAGAAATATGTGGTCTTGTTACAATAAGATAGTTTAGCTTCCGATAATGACTAGGATTTGAAAGTGACCCCCTATCTTGGAAGAAGTTTTGCATTGGGATCTATTGGTGTATCAATAGGTTTGCATCCTAACATGTTGATTTCCTCCAAAATATCCTAGGCGTACTTTCTTTGAGAGATGGAGATGCATATTTAGACTGTGTCACCTCAATACCTATGAAATAGCATAGCTTTCCACGATATTTAGTTTGAAATTGATTGAACAAATGTTATTTTAGTCGTTCAATTCCAACTTTATCACTATCAGTAATAACAATGTTATCCACATAAACAAGAAGGTAGATGCATTGTCCAAAAGAATTATGTTGATAGAAGATGGATTGATCGAATTGATCAGATCACTACGACGTAAACCAAATGTCTAAACAGTTGAACTGGAGTTGCTAAACCAAGCATGAGAAGATTGTTTCAAACCATACAATGATTTGCGGAGTTTGCACACCATTCCAGACTCCCCCCGAGCAACAAAGTTGGGTGGTTCCTTCATGTAAACCTCTTCTAGCAAATCAATGTAAAAATGAATACTTAATGTCCAATTGGTGTAGGGGCCAGTAACGAATAACAGCCAGGGCAAGGAATAGTCGAACAGATGCAATTTTAGCAATTGGAGAGAAACAGTCCCAATAATCTAGGTCAAAGATCTGAATATATCCTTTGGCGACCAAACGAGCCTTGAGACGATCAAAAGTGCCATCAAGACTGACCTTAACCATGAATACCCAAAGACAAACAACCATGGAGTTGCTTGCAGGTGCAAGAACAAGGTTCCACATGCCATTGGGGTGCAAGGCAAACATCTCATCAATCATTGCTTGGTGCCATCGTGATGTGATAGTGCTTCACCTATGGTTTTAGGGATGAATATAGAGGAAATACTAGATACTAAGGTAAAATATTGTGAAGAAATCCAATCATAACTTATATTAAACAACCATCTCACTTAAAAGATTAAGCTATTAAGTGAATGCCACTTTAAGCTATTAACTTATATTAAACAACCATCTTCGTTGTTGAGCACTTTCATTTCAGGATCTAACAAATTCCCACATTTTCTTTCTGTTATTCCCTAATTTCTGGTCCAGTTCTAAAATACCTCTACCTTAATGTTTGCAAAGGTGATTATTAGCATTTGATACTGGTACCATTCTCCTAGTCTTTATTTTCATAATAGCATAACAGGTTGTTATATTTGCTGTACCAGCTACTTAGTTGCTGCTGTCGGCCTGCAAAGCTTGTGGAGTCTCTCTTTGGCATTTGCTGATATATATGCCATTTTAGTAAGGCGTGGCTTCCGAAATTCAAGAATAGTGAGCTTATTCTCTATTGGTGATGGGGTAAGCCAATGCTGGTGAATTTTGTTAACTTCTGCCACCAATCTTGTAAAATTGATGTTTTCCTTACTATTCTCGCCTTCAATATATAGAAGTAATGATGACTTTGAGTTGCTTAATTAATCAAGAAAAATGTAACCATGGTAGCAGACTTTCTAGTGAAAAAGTTCTGTCATCTTACATGAAAAATATAACCATACACTTGATAGTCGTTAGTTGTCTTCAACCAGGGACAATAATCGTTTTTATGGAAATATAATTGAAGACTTGTACCTGACCATCAGCCTAATATGATATGATAAAGATGTAAACCCTACACATAGCCAAAATGCATGTTAGCTATGGAGCTAATTATTTAGTAATGATATATTATTTCCACTTAAAAAGGGCGAGCCTGGAGCAATAGTAAAACTGCTCTTTTGTGATTGAAAGATCACACGGGTCTGAATATAGAAAACAGTCTAATTAGTCCAATAAGAATTGGGTTATACCACATATGGTTGAGCTTGGTCCAATAGCAGTCTAGATCTTGAAGAGAGATTTCTATGTGGGGATACTTCAGCGGGATCCTTCTGTGAGATGGAGAGTTTGGTGTTGGGTTGTTTGGATTGGCTGAGACAAATGTGGGGTACTTGTAAGGCATTCTGACACTCAAGTTAGTATGTGAGTAATGAGTTTATGTCAAGATGGATTAGATAATCATACCTAGGCATCAAGCCTCTGTTATAGGTTTTGATTGTGCTACTTATGCTGCCTTAGTATGGCAGAATTTAACCTCATTGGTGGGCAGAAGTGGCTCTTGCATGCTATCCCGTGTGTGGGATGTCTATTTGTGGGCTATACCTCATAGTGTGGCTGGAACCAGGTGCCTGCCTTTTAGCTATTGGCTATTAGGGTGGTTGCAGAGTTCTGAGCTACTGATACCGTAGTTGTACGTTTGCAGGATGACATCAATGCAGGATGGATGTGTTTCTTTAGCCTTTAAGTCTTAGTTGTTGGACCTCTTGGGCCATTTATGGATTGGGTCTTATTTCCCATGTGAGATAGGTTCAAATCACAGCTTTGTAAATATGGAAGGATAAAGCTGCGTATAAGGATTGCCCTCAGCCCACACTAGCTAATCAAGGTTTAATGGGAAGTGATTTTTTTATATTATTTTCACTTATGGTAAGGGGGATGATTGGGAATATTTATTTTGTATTGTTGTGCGCTTTTAATAATTTGGTGCACTATACTGTAATGCATAAAAAGAATACACAGACACACATGGTGTTTTTCCTAAAATTTATTCATTTCTGTGAAATTAAATTTTTTCCCTTGAATTCTACTGCAGATTACTTCAACACTAACATTTTCTGCAGCCTGTGCTTCTGCTGGTATTACAGTCCTTATTGGCAATGATCTGAATGAATGTGCACAGAACCATTGCAGCAGGTTTGAGACCGCGACAGCCATGGCATTTATGAGTTGGTTTGCGGCTTCACCCTCATTTATTTTGAATTTTTGGACGCTGGCCTCCAAATAGAAGCAGCGAGAAATGCTTTTAGCTATAGGTATGGCATAAACTATGGGGATTGATGGCCCTGACTGATTGTTGCAAATCATATTCATGGGCCTTTTTTAATCTTTTGAAATATTGCCACTCTTCAAGGCATAATCTTCAAAACTTTAGTTTTGTTTATGATTTTTTCAAACGATGATATAATACCTTTTCAATTAAATTATGTCTGCATGGCACGACATGAAGTTAAGAAGTGCGAGTTACCTAATGCTACATAGCAATAATTCACGCTTGCCAAAATTTAGATAGCTTTGATGGTGATTGTTTAATAGACAGTGTTATGCAATACAGTCCATCCAAGATTCAAATGAGCATGCCAACTTATTATGGCTTGTCAAGATTGTTAGGAAAATTTCAATTTTATAGGGAGGGGAAATGCTGCCCAAATTTATCGTCTCAAGATTGCGCCGCGATCTCTCTCACGAATGTGATCTTACACCATTACATTATTCTTTTGAATTTTGAATTGTTTTAAATTTGAATTTGATTTGGGGTATCTTTTTCATTCACATTTTTTTAACTTTAAAATATTGGTTTATGTGAAGGATCAACACATTTGCAAGTGTGTGATTCATAGTATTATTAGATAAAATATTAATTTTAAATAGAGTTGGGCAAATGAGTTTAGAACTGGATCAGTTTTTCGTTAGCTTATGATACCTGATCCTCTAACTATTTAAAATTTTGTTAATTGAAGCTCAGCCCGATTAACTACAACTAAAGTTTAGGGCTAAGATAAATTAAAATTGGTTGTTGACTCGCTAGAGCTATTGAGTTAATGAGTTATTAGTTCAATTGGTTAAATTAAATTTATATTAAATTATTTAATAAATATATTTATATATGTTAAATTAAATTTATATATGTATTTTTGTAGCTTAGTGGTAAGTGTTAGTGGTAAATGCATATATTTATATATGTATTTAATAAATATATTTATATATATTTGTGGTAAACACTTGCCATATATATTATTCTTTTATTAGGAAATTGCTCGAGACCATGAACAGTAACTGAGTTATTGTTATTAGGACCATCAACTAGTGCAATTACCTTTTGTGCAATTGAACTAGTACTAAATTAGTGAATTGATCACAAGCCACGGTTCAATCTCCATTGGTTTTTCACTTGAGCCGATTTTTTAAAATTTGTGTAAAATATTTATTTTAAATAACACTTACCACTAAGCTACAAAAATGCATATGTAAATAAATATTTTACACAAATTTTAAAAAATCGGCTCAAGTGAAAAACCGGTACTGATTGAACCGTGGCTTGTGATCAAGTGAATTGATTTAGTACTAGTTCAATTGCACAAAAGGTATTGCACTAGTTGATGGGGTTTTTGACCCTTTTGCCCCTAATTAAATAATTAATAACCAATTTGCCCCTCCCCCATAACTATCCACCATCCTGCCCCCATTTAGTCGATTATGTTGCACTTGTAATAGACTAAATGGGCTAAACTCAGAAATTATGAAACGCGAATTTTAGTCGACTAAAAACTCACCTTAATCGACTAAATTGTTTGCTCTTTTAGTCGACTAAGCACATTATTTAGTAGACTAAAGATCGCGAAAAACCCTATATCCAGACCTCTCTTGGGCTCATTTTCAAAATATTCGAAATCAAAACTTCTCTCTTGGTCTCTTTCTCTTGTTTGTCAGCTGGGAACCTTCCAATCTCCCTTCCATTTCATCCCACCACCTCTAAGACATAGTAATTGTGAAATCATTGTCATTTTCCTTTATTTCTCAATTGTTTCCCCCAAATCTGAACCCTAACCCCTAAAATCTGATTCCTACCCCCAAAATTCGTGTGAAAGATGAGCTCAAGTCCAAACATGTATGTTACCATGATTTACTATGATGGAAAGCATTATGAAGGCCCCAACGGTGTTCAATTTGAAGGAAAAACGAAAATGTTGAAAATCAAACGGGGCACTACGTACAATGAGCTGAAGGGGAGGATTAACCAAAAATTGGGGCTACACGAGAGCCATGGCGTTCAACGGATGATCGCCAGGGTAGAGTCTACAGTTGGTAAGGATGCTATATTCTACATTGGTAATGATATATGTGACGATGAAGATGAGGATTGTGTCATAGATGCAATTGTGGACCGAAAATTTCAAAACTTTATTGAGATATATGTTGAAATAGACTGTGGTCAATCTTCATCTGCACTTGTGCATGGAAGAAGTCAAAGTCAAGAAGACAGAGTGGTCGGTTTATCTGCACCTGCACCTGTCTTAAGTCAGATACCACTGAGGGAAATAGACGAGGATGAGGATGGGCATGACGAGGATATGGACAGTGAAGACGATGGTGAACCCGAGAGTGTTATTCCGCTGGGTGACACCTCAGATACGGACGTAGAGGGGAATTTTGACGCTGATACTAGTTCAGGAAACTTGAGTTCCCAGGTTATGCCACCGCTCCGTGTTGACCCTGTTAGCAGTGGTAAGATTGTAATATAAAGTTTTAATTTTGCATATATATATATATATATATATATATATATTTGTGTTTTCTTTCGTACTGACGGATAAGTTTAAATTTGGACGTAGGGTCTGAGATTGAGCCATTTTGGAACGACAGCCCACACTATTCGTTCATTAATTGGGCTCACCCTAATGATGAGACGGAGATATTGTATGGCGACGATGACATCCACGGTGGCTGGCATTTAGGAGATCCATTATATTTGTACCAGGAGTTTCGAACTAACTCTGAAATGCAACATGCTGTCAAATTATATTGCACGATTTTTTTTGGCACGGAACCGATCGAATATCAATGTACACGCATATAATGACTTGGGGAACACACTTTCAGGTACAAAATAGTATTGTACAGGTTATAAACCACGAATGTGCATGTACTACATAAATGCAATAATTAAGGGTATCCGAAACTTGTGTTCTTATTTTAACTCTGTTAAGGTCACCTGTTCTGAATTTCATTGGACATTTTAGACCCGTTGGACTGTGATTAGACACAAATTGAAAACATGAAGGTAAAAGATATTTGTTCCTTCATTTGGTAAACAAGAAAACAACAATAATTACGTAAACGGTTCACAACATGATGGGAACATCAAATAGTTCATTTCATAACCATAATATTACATAAGCTACAAATGTAAAATAGGAAGACCGAAGTCAATTACATAACAACATACACTAGAAACGTAAAATAGAAACATAAACCCTAAATCTAATCCTCATCCTCCTCGGACGCCGTCTCCTCGTCATCCTCATCTGACACATCAGCCCCCTGCCCTGCAACATCCTCAATCTGCTGTCCTCGTCCAAGCTCTAGACGAGCAAGCCTATCTTCAACACCCTTGAACTGTCCCTGTATATGTCTAAATCTTTCATTTCCCTTCTGCACGTGACTCTTCCTCCATTTTTTGTGTTTCAGCGCCATTTTTCCTATTTTCTTCAGCGTGGCGTTTATGCCCTTCATGACATCACGTAATGAAAACCCACCCTCAGGCTCAGCTATCTCCTGCTGGTCACCCTCATCATCATCGTCATCATCATCCTCCACCTCGGGGTCAACCATGTCTACAACTGGAGCAACATCAGGAACCTCAACATCAGCCGCACCTGTGAACTGCCACACTCCTGTTTGGGGGTTCTTTGTCATCTTGCACTGCTCCAGTAGACGTTTTCCAAACTTATGATTATACCCTGTGGTCTTCTTCAAGGTCACATTACCCATGGGAACATCAAAATGCTCCAATATCCTCTGAACAAGACAAGCAAATGGAAGTGCACCCTTGTGTTTGGCCTTATACATCATCCAACACACGTAGTGCCTCCAGTTCACCGAAGTACCATGTCGGATAGCCCACATGATGGGAATGTCATGCTCCAACACCCTGGAATGATTGAACGCTCGCGGAAACAAAATGTGGGTGATGACATAGTGTAGTATGCGGGACTCCACAGTAAGCAACCCCACCGTATAGGCAATGTGTTGCCCACGGACTCTCCTCTGCTCCTGCACGGCATCACCGCGTGTATATCCTGGAAGTATGGTCCCGCTGTCTGCGTCATATTCCACAGTCTGCGCAGAATCAAAGTCATACCCCAGTAACTCCAACCATACCGGAGCCGTCATGATGATGTCCACCCCACAGACCCTAGACCTCAGCTCATCGTGATGGTAGCTGAGATTATGGTAGAAGGCCCGTACATGCAGCTCAGAATATGAACACCGAAGATCTATTTTTGAAAAGACTCTGGCACCTCTCAGTTGATCCATCAAATCATCAATCCTCGGGAGTGGATACTTATTCTTCATAGTCACTTTGTTCAACTGACGATAATCTACACAAAGACGTAGACTACCATCCTTCTTCTTGATCAGAATTGCTGGTGCACCCCATGGAGAGGTACTGGGTCTAATAAATTCTTTTGATAGCAACTCTTCTATCTGCCTCTTCAGCTCCCGTAGTTCCAAAGGTGCCTTACGATACAGAGCAATGGAGATAGTCCAACTCCGGGAATAAGTTCAACGGGAAACTCAATTTCCCGATGAGGAGGTAATCGAGGAATTTCATATGGGAACACCTCCTCGAATTCATTAACAACAGGAACACTCTGAATTGGGTTGTCAATCGAAGTCTCGGACTCAATCAACAACAAATATCTCGCAGCTCCCCTGAGAAGCTCTTTTCTAACTTGTAACAAAGAAATAGTAGAAAGAAGCTAAAAATTACCATCTTTAGGAGGAACAACGACATTCGCTGCTCGACAGTCCAATGTTATCCTGTTCTCCGTCAACCAGTCCATATCGATAATCACCTCAAAGTTGAATACTGGTAGAACCACTAAATTCACTGTATAAGTGTTTCCTTCAAATTGCAAAATAACACCTCTGCAGATTTCTGAGGCTGTACATGATTCCCCCGTAAGAGTACTGATGTTCAATTCATAAGGTAACGGGGCTGGAGTGATGCCTATTCTCATAGCAGTGTGTTTCGCCATAAAAGAACCTGATGCTCCAGAATCAAAAATAACAGATATTGGATAGCCATTCAAAATTACATTACCTCGAATCAGATTAGGATACTTCTGAGCTTCCTTTGCATCGAGAGTGAACACCCTAGCTTGAGTGGGATTTCGATTAGGATTCTGCGGGCAATCAGATACAAAATGTCCCGACTCTCCACATCTGTAGCATAAGTTGTTCCTGCTTCGGCAGACTCCAGTATGATTCTTTCCACAAGAGGGACAAGCATTGGAACCCTGTCGTCCGGCAGATGTTTGACCAGGAGCATTGTTTCTCTTGAAGTTTCCAGTCCGAGCTGGCAACTGCGGACCTTTGCCTCAATTCATGCCGGTAAATTTTCTGAAGAACCTGCCCACTTTGCTTCCTCCCTGAGCTTGCATTGGCTGCTTATTCAGATTCTTTGCTTCTTTGATAATGTCCTCCGCCTGCCGACTCTGATTAATTAATTCAGGCAGAGTGCGAGCAACTGTAGTCAGCATGAGCTTCCAGATTTCTGGGTATAATCCGCTTTCAAACTTCTCCACTTGCCATTCCTCGTCATAGATGTTCCTATCAAAGTTGGCATATTCCATCAACTGCCCGAACTTGGCAATGTATTCATTTACTGTCATGTTGTCCTGTCTCAAAGACAGCAGCTCAGTGTGCTTCATTCTTCTCATAGCTTTTGGAAAATACTTGTCCAGGAAAACCCTCCTGAACACGGCCCAGGTCAGTTCAACATTATGAGCTCGCAACAGAGCCCTCGCACCGGTCCACCAAGTCAATGCCTCTCCAATCAGCTGGTACGATGCATAATCGGTCTTCTGAGCTTCAGGGCATCCCATTCGCTCGAATATGTGCTCGATCATCTGCAACCATCTTGCTGCAGCCTCAAGAGCATCTCCACCTTCAAATGTAGGTGGCTGGAAGTTGCGGAAGTCTTTCAACATCCGTCAGGCAGTTTCCTCAGCATTGTCATACATATGAGGTTGAGGCATCTGGGGTTGGTTCTGGTGTTGATGTTCTCTCCACTCTCGGCTCATATTTTGCACGAAAATGGCCAACCCCCCGACAGTAGTGATGAGGTCATCATCTGCATTGCTAGGCCTTCGCCAAGTAGAACCGTGGTTACCTGCCATGATTCTGCACTCACAATATCACGAAATGAGCTGATCAGACTCATTGCAAGCTATTTATGACAGCAATCCCAAGTAGGTGCTCGAGTTCAACTCGGATAAGTTAACAATGCATATGTCCCTTCTCACCAGATGATTTTAGCATTCTAGCTATAACAGTTAATATAAGCCTAATAACTTAAACAATTTATCACATAGCAGGCAGAAAGTATCTAAATAGTCAATTTACAGTCATCAAACAATTCAGCAAGCAGGAAACAATTCAATCAAAAATTGACACCTTGAACCAAAACTGCTCTGATACCAATTAGTGTAACACCCTCCCTTGTAGGCCTCCAAGGGAGTTGTTTGCTTGTTGGAATTAGAGTTCTTTTGTCTTATAAAAATTGTTTTTTACGTTGCTAATTAAAACTTGTATTTGAAGTCGGGTTTCTTACCAAAAATCAGAGTGCACTTTCAAAATTTCTTAACTTGCTGAAAATGGAAATTTCTTGACTGACCTTGCTGTCTTTAAAAATTCGTATAAAATCAGTTTCGACGATTTAACAAAATGTTCCACATAATCTAGAAAGAGCACGTCTGGGGCTTCGCGTGCATATAAAATTCGGAGTTCGTTTTCCCCTCAAAACATAACTCGCAAGACGCTCTTGAAACTGTTTAAAATTCAGCACTTAGTAAAACGTTAGAAATCATTTTCGCAAAACGCTTCAAAAATTCGTTTTCAAAATACTGGATGATCATAAAAGTCTTAAAACAGTAATAATATCATAGTCTAACAGTAATCTAAATTTCTCAATTTAATACAGTCATCCAGCAATAGAAAACAACAGCAACAGCATTCCCACATAGCAGAATTTAACAGCAAATATCCAACTAATCAGGCCCTCAAATGCTCTTCCGCCCTCCTGCCATTTTATAAAATAGCAGTCCCAAAGGGGTGAGAAAAATCCCAGTAGTGTGATAACAAAACCAATACAGCAACAGTACTAACTAGATACAGAACTATAAAACAGTCGCATCATCAAGTTAGATCCGTCCAAGAATAATAATATCATAGCGTATATAACGCCTAGAGGTTGCGTATATAACGCCAGGAGTACGTTCATAGCACTATTGTGCACGTACTAACAGGATGCGTATATAATGCCAGGAGTACGTTCATAGCACTCTAGCGCACGTACTTAACAAGCACAGTGGATAATCCAATTTGGCTCCAACAGGAAGGATTCCAACTGCGGCCTATGCGGACTGAAGCCAAGTGTCCCATACCCTGGTACCGAAGGGATGCCTACATGATGCGTGCTCAAGTGTATGCATACTTTTCACAATTATTTTCAGATATAAACATGAAATTTATGCATGTATGCAATGTCATGATTCACACACGGTCATACAGTAAAAATCATGGATGTGTATGCATGACTAGATAATAATCAGGTTTACATAAAATTTATGGATTCAATATCAGGATGCCGAAGAATAAATAATTCACAAGATAACGGCATATCAAGTTCAAGATCAGAATCCAAGTAATATTTTCAAGAAATCCAAGCATGAGAGCAACGTTCACAACTCATGCACCAGCTAGCGGTCACAAGGGGTAATGTCACCTGACACATACCTTACGTGTCGCAATAGAATTACCGGGCAGCAGCGAAAGGCCCACAAATTCAAGAAATGTGCGCACCTAACAGAGGCATTATTAATCAGCGTTTGTCACAGAATTATTTATACGCAGTAACGTTTTAGCCTCTTTCTTCCCTAATTCCCTTATCGGTTTCTACCTTATTTCTTTCCAAATAATATACTGACTTTACAACAATTTTTCCAATGTTTAATAATGGCTAAACTTTCCAAACAGAATTGATTTAGTGCATAAGGAAATCCTTAATAATATATCACACAATTTTCTACTTCCCTACTCATAAGGTGCACAAGGGAAGTCTATTATCATGCTGTATTTTAACATTAAAATGAGATTTATTCTAAATCCACACTCATCGAAACATAATTGGTTTTTAGCAACTAAGATGCTTAAGGCATGTATTCAAATTTTAGCTTAACAAGGCAGAATGGTGGGTGAAGGGCAACCTAATAACATGTTATAAATTAATTAAAATAAGACTTAGTTCATGACAAGCCACTAAGACAGAATTTGTTTTTAAACTAATCAAGGCATCAAAGGTACTTTATCCTAAGACTTACTATCCCACAATGGTGCGCTACAAAGAGACCTAAACATGCTGTCATACTAATTTTTATTTAGCGAAAATAGTAAGCATAAACAACATGCAACAACGTTTTACGGCATATCTTCATGTATCTCAAATCATTATTTGCTACGGCTATATGCATTAACAACTAAGACTTAAAACAGAAAGGATAATCAACAAAAATCCAACTCCCCTACCATACCCTAAGACCGAACAACAAACCCAAAGAGATAGAAGTTATCTACGTTTCCTTGTTCTTCTTAAGAGTTCAACTCAAAGAACGGAGAGCTTCCTCTTTCCGAATTACCAAACGTTTGATCTAGCAACGTATATAGAGTAATGACTTCACAAAGTCTAGCGCATGCAACAAAAGGAGTCTAGTGAGGACCGATTAGAGAGTAGGAAATGGTAAGAAATGAGCAACAACTCACCTCCTTAGATGCTAGTACTCCGCCGAACAAAAGAGGAATAGGAGTGTGTTTTAGAATTTGTTTATCCTTTAAGAGGCTCCACGATTCCTTTCTAAGATGAGTAGAAACAATTTTAATGGCAACAAGGTTGAAAGTGTCCTAAGGGGAAGGGTTACGGTTTGGCAAGGATGGAGAGGGGGTTTGAAATTCTTATCTTGGTTTTGCTACTCGTCAAGGTCACGGTTTTTTGTGAGGGAAATGGAGAATAAAATAACTGTTTGGTTGTCTACAACTTCAGTGCTTGGGTGAGGAAATGAGAGTTGTAAAACTGATTTAAAGGCTTAGGAAAATTCAGAAAAACCTCCCAACCCTTCTTCTCTCTTTTCAGCGCATCAAGGCAAGTGAGGGCAGAATTTCTGCACCACTAAATGGGCATGCAAGCTGACCACTAGATGCTTATTGGTTGCATGAGAGAAAAGATGAATGAGTTTGCATAAAGTAACAAGTAAGACCAGCTTTTTGTATTATCTAAGTGCATGTGATGATGGGAAAGAAGTGTGGCTGATTGGTGTTATTTAATGGGACTTAATCAGAATTTTCAGCCCCTTTATCTCTACCCTAGGCGCACACTTGAAGGGGAACAAGGTTAAGGTTTTCCAAATGTCCTACATGCAAACAAAAGAGAGCTAGGTGGCGCACATGCATTGCTTGACTAGATTTATTTTGCCACCTAATGGACATGCAAAGGTTGAGTTGAGATTGTTTTCAAATGTGTAGAATCATAATTTTCCTCTTACGCATAAATTATAATTTCCCAAGTCTTGTAACTATTTTTAATTCTTCCAATATTTTGCTATAATTAATTCCTACACTTTTTCTAAGGCTTCACATGACTAAAGTAGACTCTCCTTATCATCATAATTTTAATAATTTCCCCACTCAATAATTCTCTTCTAATAGCTATATAATCCTAAATCGAAGCATGTGTAGTCCGTTACTCGAACTTAACAAAAATATCAATATTCCTCATAGCAATTTATATGAATATATATATATATATATATATATATATATATATATATATATATATATATATATATATATTCCTAATTACGTGGGATGTTACAATCACTGATGATACTCTCGGGCACTCTATGAAGCCTCACAATCTCGCGAACATATAGTCTGGCCAACTTCTCAGTGGTGAAGCTCACCTTTACCGGAAGAAAATGTGCAGACTTGGTCAATTTGTCCACAATGACCCATGTAGAGTCACAACCAGCCTGAGTCTTAGGCAAACCCACCACGAAGTCTATGAAAATGCTATCCCACTTGCACTGCGGTACCTCAAGAGGTTGAAGCTTACCAGACGGCTTCTGGTGTTCAATCTTTACCTTCTGACAAATCAAACACTTGGACAGATAGACAACTATATCTTTCTTCATGCCCGGGCACGAGAAATTTCTTTTCAAGTCCTGATACATCTTAGTAGCACCAGGGTGGATAGTGAGTTGGCCCTTATGAGCCTATGTCATCACCTCCTAGTCAAAGGACCTCGAGGAATTACAATCCTCTTATGGAACATCAATAACCATCCTCATTCCAAGACACGCCGTCCTGATTCTTCACATAATCAAGACACTCTCTTTGCACTTGCTCCTCTTTAATCTTCTCCATCAGCTTATTTATAACATCTGTTGTTTCCATCTCGAGAAGTGCACCCCGAAACAAAGAGGTCACCGTCAAATCCCGAAACTTCTCAATGACATCAAAGTAACCCATCATCAAATTGGATAGACTCACGGATTTCCGACTCAGAGCATCAGCCACCACATTGGCCTTGCCAGGATGGTACTTCAACTCAAAGTCGTAGTCCTTCAGGAATTCCATCCATCTTCTTTGTCTCATGTTCAGCTCCTTCTGATCAAACAGGTACTTCAGACTCTTGTGGACACTGCAAATTTCAAGTCATACAAGTAATGCTTCCAAATATTGAAAGCAAAAACAATCGCCGTCAACTCCAAATCATGAGTCGGGTAGTTCTCCTCATGAGGCTTCAGTTGCCTCGAAGCATAAGCAACAACTCTACCATTCTGCATGAATACACAGGCCAGCCCCTTCCCAGAGGCGTCACAATATAACTCAAACTGCTCTACAGGATCAGGAAGGATCAACACTGGTGCAGTTGTCA